TCCCTACCTTTACAGGGCCCTCCTGGAGCATCTGGAGCTGAGGGCAGACAAGGTGAAAAAGGTGCAAAGGTAAAAAACAAAACAAAACAAAAACGCCAAGATTATGTTACATGAATGGAAATGCAAAAAGCATTTTAAAATGCTTCCTACTTTTTAAGCTATTTACTGTACATTGAATATGTGATATTTAAACCCTACCAAAGTCATCGTAATTAAACTGTAAAGAAACAAATTAAGAGCCATGTTTAGTATTTACATTACAAAAATAATTTGCTTATTGTCACATAGTAGTGGTGCCTATTTCTCTCTTTAAAGCATAACCTGAACTTGGAGGCAGTGTAGAGACACCCCCTCCCCCCCTTCTAGAGGTATTTGATGGTGCAGTGGGTTCAGTATTAACAAAAGTAGGCCTGGCTCATCTAGGCATTAAAGTAGAGAACGGGGAGAATGACTCTGTCCTCACCATTCAAGGGATGTTGTGATGTTCATTCAGGAGACAGGACTTTTTACTCAGAGGAATGCAGATTCAGACTGAGTGGCTCCAGAGGAAAGTAATAAAAAAGCATTTGGAGCCTGACTTCCTGCTTTTTCACCTATGCAGACCCTGACATATTCAATTTCACTAATGCTGCTTCTAACCAGATATGTGCTTCTTTGTAGGGTGAGCCTGGTTCAGAAGGTGCTGCTGGGAAAACAGGTCCAGTTGGTCCCCAGGGGCCTGCAGGAAAATCTGGCCCAGAGGGCCTCCGCGGTATTCCTGGCCCTGTGGTGAGTACATTGCACACTCTGTTCTTTTCCTACCATATCACTTTTATATATCTTCTTATGAAGAAAACCTAATGGTTTGCTTCTTATAGGGAGAACAAGGGTTACCTGGAGCTCCAGGTCAAGATGGCCCACCAGGTCCCTTGGTAAGTATCCTTCCTATTCTATTTCAAAGAAGAAAAATCCTCCAAAAATATGCCATTAACATACCTTGTATATTATAAGGAAAATAATAATACAGATCAGTGCTTACAAGACTAATATCCTTCTGCTTATTAGAACTAGAATACTGAGCCCCTGTTTTACCATCACTTTACTTCAGTTATAGACAGAGCAACTGCACTGAACACAAAGGAGTTACACTGGCATAAAGCTGAAAAGGCCCCTAATCTGTACCAGAATTTAAATTAGATTAAAGCACCATATATTAGGAAATATTAAATATAAATACTATCCAAAACATATATTTTGTCTCCAAACAAGCATTCCTAAAATGTAATGCTTATTGGCTCCTTACTTTATTTATTGTCCCAGTCTCTTTTCCATTTGCATTCTGAATTGGGATTTTACTGTACCATCTGCTTGAAAAAGGTAGCAGAAATTACTCCCATAGAAGCACCTTTGAAGCTGCAATATTTGTCTTTGCTAGTACCCAAGCAATCATGAGCCAATGGGCAGATACCAAATGAAATCATTGCCTTCTGCTTAAAATACTACTCATAAAAGCAATTAGCAAAAGACAAAAAGGCATTCTTTGTAAAGTGGATTGTTGGGTGAAACCTACAGGTTTTCTTACTAACTGCAAAGATGTCTTTAAGTTTTATGTTAACTTTTTAGCCAGAACCAGGCTAATTTACTTTATACTTGTTCATCAGTGTTATCAAATAATATTTGGCAATTATAATATTTATCTGGATCTCTTTTAAGTCAGGGAATTGGCACTGTATAAACAAAACTTGGTTTAATCACCCCAACCTGAGGAAAGAAAAATAAATTTATATTTGCTGCCATTGAGTGGCATTTAACAGTTATCAGTTAAGATGATGCAATGGCTTATTGAATATTACTGTACATTAATAATGAAGATAAAAGGAAAAGAAGCAGCACATGGAAGATTTAGTAATTAATGTTTTGGAAGTTGTGTTACTTGTATGTAGTGGTATATTCACTGGGGTTTCTTAAGTCCCTCCAGGCAAAATCGGCTGCACTTTGGCAAGTAAACAAAGGAAACCACGTTGTTGAGAAATGTCTTGGATCAATTTATCTTGCATTAAAATTCACAAGCATTATCTAGACTTCACTACATCTGTCTGCTCTGAAGTCCTATCTGAGGAAGCTGTTTCCCCAGCTACACCTTTTCGGGGTAGTCAGAGACATCTACATGGAAGGAAGGAAACAAGCAGAGAAAAATGACCCTGTGCACAATGAAAAAATGGAGGTTTTCAGAATCTGGGTTATAAATATTTTTAGAAGCCAAATTCAGTGGGTTTGGTACATGCCTAGAGTGCCACATCAAGGATAGGAGATATAGACAACATGGACAGCCATGGATGGACAAAAGGAAGAAGTAGGAATGAAGTTCTCTCATAATCCAAAAGGAGGGTCCAGAGAAGGGCCACTTGTATGGCCCTTGCAGGCCAAGCCCTATGAGGAGAGACTAGAGCACCTGGACCTCTTCAGCCTCCGCAAGAGAAGGTTGAAAGGCGACCTTGTGGCTGCCTATAAGTTCATCATGGGGGACAGAAGGGAATTGGTGAGGTTTTACTCACCAAGGCGCCCCTGGGGGTTACAAGAAATAATGGCCATAAGCTAGCAGAGAGCAGATTTAGACTAGACATTAGGAAGAACTTCTTCACAGTTAGAGTGGCCAGGGTGTGGAACGGGCTCCCAAGGGAGGTGGTGCTCTCCCCTACCCTGGATGTCTTCAAGAGGAGGTTAGATAGGCATCTAGCTGGGGTCATCTAAACCCAACCCTCTTTCCTGCCTATGCAGGGGGGCGGACTCGATGATCTATTGAGGTCCCTTCCAACCCTAACGTCTATGAATCTATGAAATAGCCTTACATTTTGCAAGCAGTGTTGCCACACAGCCAATAAACCCCCTGTGGAAGTGCAAACTTATGGTGCAATGTATAACTACACCACTAGATCACAAGATACAGGAACAGTTAAAGACAGATTCCTGTCCTGTAAAATGGTGTGTGGGTTTTGGGTGAGCAGGCTGAATGTGGGCATCAGGCCATGGAAGGAATCCTTCTGTCCAGTTCTTTCATCTTGTAGCCATGGACAATAAATCACTTGTGTAGACCTGTGCAGAAGCTTTTACAGATTAAATATTCGCTTGCCCTACCCAACTTTTATGAAGGTAATTCCTACTTTGCACATGCATCAGGAGCCAGGTATGAAGGTCTGGATCTCAGTTTAACCTCTCCAGATCAGGTTCTCAGTATATAAAATGAAAAAGCTGAGAAAATGTACAATACATCTGTGATAGAAGGGTCTAAGTGGGCTGAGTTATGGAATGGATTTCTTGTGGGGAAACACTTTGGAGGGCTCACTGTAGTGAGTAGATCCTTTACTGTAGATAGTTTCAGAACAGACATCTAGCTGCTCTTTTCACGCCGAGGAAATTAACAGTTTAGGACTAGCAGAAGGCCCAGGAATATGCCCTCTGATTCTTTCCTGAGTGATAACAGTATTTCATGTTATTACCTGAGTGTTAGTCCCAGGGTTGACTACTATAGTTTTATTAGAGTTTGCTGATAATGAGGCACACTGTGCCTGAGGAGAAGAAAAGGAGGCTCTAAGGGTGCCACAGGGAAGAAAGTAGGATTCTTAAGGAGGACAGAGGGAACAGTAGTGATGGCATAATAAAGACACTTGGTTTTGAAGAGGAACTGTCTACCATACTGTCTGGGATGCTGCCAGTCTGATCTCCACATTTAAGGAGAAAAATCTCCGGTCCCAGGAACTGAGCAAATAAGGAGCTCTCTGAGGTGGGGGTGCTATGGATAAGCCAGGAAAGCCAGGGACAAAGAAAAGCTGGTCTCAAAGCTAGAGGATTGCTACATGTAACGCACCCCTGCCACACCCGGTGCTAATTAGCATGTTCCAGCAGACTTGATTGAATCTGTTCTGACATGCAGTAATTACAGATTATTGGAGCAGCCTCCCCACACATGTAGAGGCACCCTAAAGTTTTGGGTTCTAGGGAGCTTTTCTTTTGGCATTGGGCAGCCCAGGCTCTCAGTTTGGGACCTGGGCCTGCACCCTGCCTAGTCTCGGCTTATTTTTAAAATGGCACAGGGCAGTCCCAGCAGCTGGTAATTGTGCAATGGACTCCTGGGGAATTTTCTGCCCCATCCCCAAAGTTGCTCAGCCTGGCAGAAATGTTTGATTCTGAGTTTCAGAAGCTTACTCCTGTTTTCCTTTTAACTTTTTTGTCCATGAATTATGTATTTGCCAGGGGGTTTGCATTTAATGATAGCCTGAGAAAGAAATGGAAAAGGTACACACTGAATAATATTTTGTATATGAAGAATTATAATCCTTTTTGAATCTGTGCCAGGTTGAAGAGGTCACTTATTACTACTGTCCATATCATAACTTCTCAGATATCCTGACTGCCAGCAGGAAACTAGTAGTGATGAGATATTGACACAGTTTAGCAGCCATGCTCCTAATGCATTTATGTTCAGTGTGAGTTTAACAGCCTCTTGAGAAATGTATTCCTCTTCTACTCTTGCATATAACCTGCATAGCTTGGATTTTTTACCTTGTTCTATGAAAATTAAAACCAATATTATCCTTCCTCTGAATGTCAAGAAATGTATCAGTTTCTGAAGAGTTATTCCAAAAGTATAGATAGGAATTAAAATATAAATAAATTAAATAAGGAACAGGAACAAGTCAAGGAACAAAGACAGCTTTCTTCCTTATCTAATATTTCTTCCTTAATATCCATTCCTGTCCCAGCTTTCCAGTATTTTTAAATACATATATTTGTTTTGGTTAATAGGCTTAGTATCTTAATAGATTTTGTTTAGGTCTCTGCAGGTGCATCTACATGTGCCATTAGCGTCACTGACAGATTTGCAGCTCTCTATTGTAAATCATGGCACTTCACATGAAGTGTCATGATATACAGCAACCTCCCCCAACCCAACAGACGTTCACTGTTCAGTTGGGGCTGGGGGGTGGACTTGAGCTCCACTTTAGAGCTGATCCAGTAGATAGAGGCTGCATGTTTGCACCCCTAGCCCCTTCCCCATCTGTCGCTCTGGTGCTGTCATCAGGATGGAAATGGGGAGAAGGTCGGGGAGGGAACTCCATTCTTGGATTTGCCCAGCCTGCATGGAGGGGGAAGTGGGTGGATTGGAGTCCCCCACCTTGGGAGGGCACCAATCTACCCACCCACCACTCTAGTACAAGCTGGGCAAACCCTAGACTAGAGTTCCTCCCTTTGCCTTCTCCCCTTCCCATACTGATGACAGCACTGGGGATGGGGCTGAGCTGCATCAACCCAGCTGTGCTCCTGGGCAGGGACAAACAGAACTTAATTAAGTTACTTTGCTTTGGAGTGCCTTTATCTGAACAGTCATTAAATGAGGGTCAATTTGTCATTCATTCAGGCACTTTTAAAGTGCTCTGCAACCATGCTCTTCTGTCAGTGCATGGATGTAGAGCACTTTCAACGGGCTGACCATGCAACACATATCACTTCTGTCAGCACCTTAAGGTGACATGATAAACTCCGGCTCAGTTTGTGTCAGAGAAAAACAGTTCCTAGTTTTAGCATTTACACATATGCCCAGGACCCCAGTGATTTGAGCTGGGGGAGGAACAGCCCTGGGCTGGCAGGGGACCTGGGGGTTTAGCCCTGGGCTCTGGCTTGCAGCATCAGGTGGTGGAGGGCTAGCTGTGGCATAAGCATGCTAAAGTGGCACCAGGCAGCCCCTGCATTTTGCACCCTTGTGCCCCAGCCAACCCTTGTCACTGTCTACATGTGCATTTTGGAGGAGTTAATTAATATACTGCACACTAATACTGGCACACATGTAGACTGTGGGTGCAATTACACATGCACTTTAATGCACAGTAGCCTATTTTAATGCACATTAAAGTGTCACGTAAAAACTGTGCTATTATGCTAATGCATAGGCCACTGTGCCTTAAGCATCTCTTAAAAAGCACGTGCTTTCTTTATTGCGTATTAAGGCAGCCTAATGCACATTTGTTTAGTACCTCATATTGGAGGTACTAAATTTAAGGCACATTAGGAAAAGTGCCTTAATGCATTAGATGCATCCTGTGATACTTTACTTTGGACCTAATTAGTCAACTTGGCAGTGAAGCATACATGTAGATGCACCGTGTTACACATAACAGGAAAGCTCTCAGGAGAAAATGGAGAGGATTTTGTTCCAAAATGTTCCATAAAGTATAAGAACAACTCACAAGATCTCCCATGAATTATGTGAAAATTGGGATCAGCAGAGTTTATAGTGTTCCCAAACTCTATATACTTCATAGGAACTATAGGAGGTGGGGCCTGTTTCTGTGGATGCCCTACTTCCTAACAGTTCCATCCTGGTTCATTTTTAGTGATATTAGTGATATTTACATGATATAATAATGAATTTGACATCATTTGCAGCTTCTTCTCTAAAGAGACTCAAATCTGGAACACCAAAAAGAATGGTATTGGAACAACAGCATGAGAAGCTGGCCCATCATCTGCTCACATGCAGCCAAATTATGTCTGGAGTCATTCTGAAATTATTCTTTTCAGGACCATATTCGACCTGCTATGTATACTTACAGCCAATGCTCAATCATGTCTTAGAGTTCTAAAGGCACAAATGAAAATTAGAAAAGTTTTTGTTGTTGTTTTTTGGTTTTCTTTAATGTCCATAACTAGAGAGTTTGAAATCAGAAGCTCTTAGGTCTGGAGAAAGGGCATGCACAGGTTTGCCTATTTTGTACTTTGACAAGGGTGTTCCTCAAATCCCATTGGATCCTCCAGAGCTTCCTCATTTTCATTTTTACTTACCTGTGTCCAACTTTCCCATGTCATAGTGACCTTTTAAGTGAGGAAGGTTAAGAATGACACTATTTGCTCTCGATTTTTAGAACTTGAAACATGTTGGTTCTAAATTAGATCTTAAGCAGCTCTTATCTTCCTGGGTTCTAGGTAGCCTCTTTTAAAACTAAGTTAGATAATACTACATTTAGTCTGATTACAGATGTGAAAAAAAACCCAGTTCCTTATTTTAAGCTCGGCACCCCCATACCCAGAAGAGGCATCACGTTACTTTGACCTGGCATGCCCATCATTTGAATAGATTGCACACTTCAGCAGGGCTTTTTAGCACTTTTATCTAATAGCCGATTGAATCAGCTATTAGATAAAAGCGCCAAAAAGCCCTGCTGAAAAGTCTGATCTATACAGATCTTGGGAAGCTGGGATGAACTAACATGCTTCCTCTTCTGCTAAAGTGCTGTTTTTTTGCATTTTTTTGACATTTGTAAGCAGCCTAATGAGCCTGTGTTCATTAAAATCTCTTCAATGTTATGTTATCACATGTTTGTGGTGTTTTATGTGATGGCCTGTGTATTAGTAGCCACCCATTAAGTAGTTTGTCCTAGCTCCTATAGGTCCAATTAAAAAAGAAATAACAGCAAATAAAGGAATGTGATTCAAAATGAACCACAAGAACTTCTTTAATAATCATTGTACTGTAAAGATTAGAACGTTGAACGATATTAGAGTTTTTATTTTAGGATGTCTTACGTTCTATATATTCTGAGGTCTATTTACATAGCCCATAAAAAAATTACATTACTACTCTACTAACATTATAGCACACATTTTTCATGATGTCATTTTAATGTTATGTATTTATTTGGAATGCTTCCATTTTAGGTATTCGTTTTAGTTGCATTGGTTTACAAAGTTAGTATGCCCTGGACTCACGTTGTCACAGGAGTAAATGGAAAAGGCAAAATTATGTGATTTGGAAGTCTGTGTCATTATAATCCCTGAAAGCCTGAGGAAGTAGACTGCTTTCAAAACATATTGCCCACTTGCATTCTTATGGGATGTGCCTTAAGCAACTCTGCTGTTGAATTTTTGTGCACTGTTGGTGGGATGGCTGAATTTGACAGTGCTTTGCTCTGGCAAAATTTACAGTAGAGCTGACAATCTCTATCTATAGGTTCATAAAGCATGAGTTGTGGCTCAAGTTAGCTTATGTATTCTTCTAATTTAACAACATATCCCCCTACACAGTGCTAACTAAGAGCTCTGTCCTATAAATCTTAGACAGGCAATACCATTGACCTCCACTGGATTATTCACAAGCTTAATGACTTGTCACAGAAGTAATTTTGAAGGACCAGGTCCTACATTTTCTCTGTAGTACCCTGAGTTCTAACTGAATAATATGGAACTTGACATTTCTGGCCAAATTTTTTTGTTTTAGTCACCACTATCATGAGCTTTATTTATTTTTGCTTTACAGGGGCCAACTGCAGACAAAATATTGGCCAGAATCTTATTTTAGTCTGTTCCATAATCTGTAGCTATGGTGAGAAAAATGTCTTACTGTCTCTCCTGGGCATCACTGTAGGATATGAGCACCTCTCAGTCTTCACTGCATTATCCTCACGATACCCTGTGAATTGGGGTTGTGCTATTATTCCCATTTTTGCAGATGAGGAATTCATATATATGATCATATTTAAAAAGTTTTGTAAGGGATAAGTGACTTAGGCAGGTATCATTTTCAGGCTTCTTCATCTCAGTGGGCACATGTACATGAGATGCTAACTGAGCAGTAGCCTAATAATACTGCATCATAGCACTTCACAGCTCAAACAATGCTATTACGGTACTGCATAGTATTAGGCTACTGTGCAGTAGTGTCACTAAAAAGGTGTGCACTGGCACTACTGTGCAGTAATGCCAGTTACTGTGCAATAATTTAGTTCTTGATTATACAAGTATTAAACTTAATATGCAGTAACTATGTTACTAGCACAGTAGTGAATGTGTAGACACGCCCAATGAGTCTAACCCTCCTAAGTCATGTAGGTCTTGTAATACTGAGCAGAGAAACACCTATTTAACTGGCTCAGACAGGTAGGATACAATGGTGTTAGAAGTCAAATCATGGTCCCAGGATAGGGCCCTCAGCACTGGACAAAAACATGAGTTACTCTCATGAGAACAATAACAAAATATGGAAGAAATTAATATAGAAATCCTGATTTACATCTGCAACACATTACTGACACTGAGTAAGATGGAAAAAAGACAATTCAGAGGTCTCTTTTTATGCAGTTTTATAAAGTGTTGGGTAGAATTAAGCCAATTAGGAAGTCTTCTTACTGTTGACTTGAAATTGGATAGGTACAGAAATAAATAACTGATGTTGGGAAAGTAATTAAAAGCCTGAAAAGTGCTCCAGGGGATAAAAAGCATAACATGGATAAGACTATTTGTTTCAATATCACATACTTCATTGGGTGTGTCCAATACCACATAAAGATTTTTAATTAACCTTTGTCTTCTCTTATGCTGTCCCTCTCTTCAGTTTTCTAGGCTTGTCAAAAACAGCTACATGATTAGTGTAATGAATCAGAAAGGACTCTTTAAAGCATGTACTTAAAGGTTATCTTTTGCCCTAAGTTGTACAGGCAGTCATCCATCAACCACTGAATACCACTGTACTGAAAATATCTTTAATATTTCAGGTGAATGCCATGAATGAAATGTGCTGCTATTTAAAATAGTTTTTAATGTTGTTTCCCTTGACTATTTAGGGTCCACCTGGTTTGCCTGGATTGAAGGGAGATCCAGGTTCCAAGGGTGAGAAGGTACGTGAACATTTCTCAAATTCTCATTTCTCTTCTGAGATCTTGTAATTATGAAATCAGATCTGAGGCTAAGTACAGATAGTCAAAAAGCCCACAGCCAAATCAATTCAATTTTTGTAGGTTAGTCCAAGTTGCATAGAATGAATGGATAAGCAAGTGAGCAGAAATTCATTTTTGATTCTGGAAATGCAGCCACATGCCTACAGTGGCTCAGGCCAGAAGCTGGGAGGTGCTAGAGCATACCTCCCTGCTCAGCTACAGCAGACACTTTGGGCCAAGGCTAACCCTCCCACCCTATAAAAGGGGGTGTGCAGGGGATGTGCAAAGCTTCCTGGGATGCTAGAGGACTGTGAGTTAACTTGATTCTGGAGGGGACCTGGGACAGGAGTTCGATAAACCAATTTAACCTAAATCAGTTAAGTCTGATACTACATCCAGGTTTATCTTAAACCAGTTTTGGTCCTTTTGAAAGCAGTTGTTGACCTTCTGTTGTGTTACAGATTTGAACTGGTTTCTGATCACTTATACCAGTTTCTGTAATTTCTGTCCATAGCCTCGGTGTCATATTGCCTCTGTGTAAAACTAGGAAAAGGAAAAAGTTATTCTTGGCCTAAAAGAAAGTCATAGTGAAAGGAAAGCAAGCTCCTAGATACCCATCAATCAACTCCCTACTTACATAATAATAATAAAATGACAGACTGCATGTGACCATCCTAGAGATATTCAGGAAGTTTTTGCCTGTGTCATAAATTTAATGGATCACAATTGCTTTTTCCTGCTATTTCATAGATTTCATAGATTTCATAGGCATCAGGGCTGGAAGGGACCTCGGAAGATCATCGAGTCCAGCCCCCCGCCCAAAGGGCAGGAAGTCAGCTGGGGTCATAGGATCCCAGCAAGATAAGCATCCAGTTTCATCTTGAAGGTGTTCAATGAAGGCGCTTGAACCACCTCCGGTGGCAGGCTGTTCCAGACCTTGGGGGCTCGGAGAGTAAAGAAATTCTTCCTTATGTCCAGCCTGAAACGATCTTGAAGTAGTTTGTGACCATTCAACCTCGTCATCCCTTGGGGCGCTCTGGTGAACAAACGTTCCCCCAGATGCTGGTGGTCACCCCTGATAAACTTGTAGGTGGTCATCAGATCACCCCTGAGCCTGCGCTTTTTCAGGCTAAAGAGCCCCAGGGCTCTCAGCCTGTCATCGTAGGGTCTGTTTCCCTGACCTCTGATCATGCACGTGGCTCTTCTCTGGACTCTCTCAAGCTTCTCCACATCCTTTTTGAATTGTGGAGCCCAAAACTGGATACAGTACTCCAGCTGCGGCCTCACTAAAGCCGAGTACAGGGGGAGAATGACGTCCCGGGATTTGCTTGAGAAGCATCTCGTCCCGGGATTTGCTTGAGAGCAGTGCTGACAATATTCCTCAAGACTGATTCTTCTAGGCTGGTAGCCCTTCCAGTTTAAGATTATAACTAGGGACCTACCAAATTCGGATCAGCTGCCCCAAATTTTGTGGTCCAAGTGCAGTGCCATTTTTGTAGTGGAGTGCAGCAGGTCCCCCACACCACAGATTAGTTGAGGAGCCCCAGAAGATCTCTCCAGGGAGGGGTGGGATTTCTGGGGCCCCTCAGCCAGAGGTGTGAGGGAGCCACTGCACTTCACCACGAAAATCTCTCCCCCATCACTTCAGGATGCCAGGGCTTTCCACTTTTTCAGTTTTTGAAGCTCTTCCCACCCCACCTTGCTGCTGATTTTGTGCTTTTTCACAATCCCCATATTTTTTCGTGGGGACCATCCTAATTCGCAGTGTCCATGAAAAATGTGAAATCGTAAATTCAGTAGGTCCCTCATTATAAGCCCACGTATACAATTGTTTCAAAACTGATCATTAAAACAAACCAGACTCCCTAGGTCTTTTTCTCCATCATGACTCCAGTTCAAATGCATCCATGTAGAAGCTTTGTTGTTGCCGTCACTTGAAACTACGTGGTAAGCTAAAAAAGGGAAGTCACTAAACAGGGACTGAAACACTCGAATGAAAAAGAGTGTTGTACTCTTCAACACTCCACATAATCCTTCAAAAATATACCTTTTTTGGTGCTGTCAATCACATCTTTTTCTACAACCAAGACTTTCCTAAATTCACCATTGTGTATAACAACCTTTTAAGACAGTTGAACCCTATTGCTTTCCCTTGTCATTAATATTTTCCTTTCCACTTGAATGATGGAGATGACAGCCTGCCTTTCTTCTTTATTCTGCCTTTGCATAAGCAGAAGCAACAGCAGGATGTTAGTGGCCTGTAAAGGCTGAGGAATTATATCTGCTCGTAATTTCTAGCCATGGCTAATGTTATGTCACACCACTCGGCTTTCAGATTCTAGCCTTGGGCAATAAGGTGGCAGTCAATTTTCTTTTTTTAAGAAAAAAGATGCACTGACCACTTTAAATTGACATATCAGGGAATATTCTAAGTGGTGTTAAGTCTTAGGTCTCAATCATATATCAAGCATGGCTTATTGATGGGTCCTTTGTTTAATCACATAATTTTAATTACAAACTTGTTCTGTAGTTTTTTAAATCATATTTCAAATAGACTGATTCAAATAAAATCTATGAAACTGCAAATAAAAACTATGAGTTTTATTCCAAAATATATTAACATAGACTGTAACACCATGTTTATAAACGTACTTCCAGTATGAAATCTGTACAAAGTGCCAATGCAGAGCACATATTTGAGAATAAATTTAAGAATCCTGGTTTAGATTGTAAAATTTCAAATACAGCACCTGCAAGGCTCTGCATCTGAAATGGTGTGTCAAACTGCCCTCTGATGTCTTGTTCAAGAAATATTTATTAGATTTCATGGAACATATACAATGAAAGACCTATGTAATCACACAGGGACAATTATTTTGCTCCTTCCTTAAGCCAGTTTAATATTTTTGGTCTTCAGCTGAAAAGGAGAGCATCCTCTTCAATTTCACATGTATGAACAGTACCAAACCATTGTAGTTTTACTGAGAAAGCAGGCAGAAGGGTCAGGTTATCAGAAAGGGTCACAGCTGTCAGAAAGACCATGATGCTAGTTACCTCCACACAAGAGATCCAAGTTCATTTTCCCTTTTACTCTGCTGTAGGAGTTGGATGTGATGGAAGGATACTCACCCCAGAGCAGGAAAAGCATAGGGTAGGGTACAGCACAGATAAGGCTTGCAGGGATGTGTAGTTTTCCTTAACATAGAGAGCTACCCCCCCACCCCTTTTCTCTACACGATCCCTCCTGTACAGGGTATAGCCATCTATCCCCGTGGTCCAGTTATGGGTGGAGTCCCACCAGGTCTCCGTTATCCCTATGACATCATAATTGTTTGCACTGAGCAGGAGGATGAGCTCCTCCTGCTTATTCCCCAAGCTCCTGGCATTAGTGGAGGAGCATTATTAAATTATTATAAAATTATTATTAAATCTGTGGGCATTATTAAATGCCCACAGATTTTAAAAGGAGCATAATGAAATTAATTACCCACTTGAACATGTGTATCTGCCATGTTTCACATAAAGGTAGACAATTGACCACTTATTGACCATTAGGCCAGGGGAGAGCTGTATTTAAAGGAATGAAGCTCACTGGTTATTATTATATTTTATTGGGTAAGTGGATAACATCTAAATGGATATCTTTTATAATGAAATAGTTGAAAGCTCTACTGGCAAACAAGTGTGGGACATTTAAATACTGAAGAGTACCCATACATATTGTTAAATTAATCTTGACTCTGTTTCAGTAAAAACCTACCCGGTAGTACTCAGATATGTTTTTCACTCAATCAGTAGTCAACTATGCAGGTAATCTCTGAGCATAAAAGCATGAAACAATCAATCAGCAAATGCATGCATCTGCAAAATATTTCTATATCTGCAGTTTTCAGGATAAGGCAGTAAGTGGCATAGTGATGACTTTTGAATATCCTAAACTATCAAAATACATTGCTTATTTAATTTATTCTTTTCCATACTTTTATACCTTGACCTTCAATATAATTTTCCTCTCATGTTTTTTCTAGGGACATCCAGGTTTGATTGGTCTCATTGGACCTCCGGGAGAACAGGGTGAAAAGGGCGACAGGGGTCTCCCAGGTGCACAAGGATCTCCTGGAGCCAAGGGCGATTCGGTCAGTAAAACAACATACTTTTGTTTTCATTCACATTCTGTACAAGCTTGTCCTTTCTGCAGAACACAGTGGGAGAGAGTTCTATGTTGCAATACTTAATGGGGTTTTTTTTAAGAAGCATTTAACTATTACTAGTTACTTACAAGAACACCAGAGCAAGAAATCAAAATCTTTGTCACTATACAAGTATGTTTTAAAGCTAAAAAGCTTATGATCTAGCTTCATTCACCAGACAAGATCCAGCAGGTGAATGAAAGCAAACAGAAGAGAGGCAAAGTAATCCATGGCATATTTTCATGTAGACTAGTTGTGTACATAGTGTAGTTCACCATCTGCCTCCTTGTTATCAAATGGCAGTATATTTCAGGCATCCTGTCAAAATGAGCCTTTACAGAGAGATTGGAAAGAAAAGAATATCGTGGCATTATTAACTCTGGAGGGTAAGAACAAGTGTGTAACTGAAATTGGCAGTATTTTTAAAGGATTTTTAATAATGATAATTTTTTATAATAAAACATTATTAATAATAAGTTTAGGTTTCTCTGAAGCCCTCCCCATTTAAGCCAATATAAAAACTCCCATCAACATAGTGGCTCTGGAATGGGTCACTGTGTAGGTTTGCTTTGTATTTGTATATCTCATTATCCCAGTCATTGTTGCCCATTATGACAGACACAATGCAATCCAGCATAATTTAGTTTTGTGCTTATGTTTCTTCAGGGCATTACTGGTCCTGCTGGTCCACTTGGCCCCCCTGGTCCTCCTGGTCTACCTGTAAGTAATGAATCCAGAGTGTTTCAACATGTAACTTTTAGTTCCAAGTATTCTTAACCTAAGTACAACACAGTCTAACTATGTGGTATCCTTCTAGGGTCCTCAAGGTCCAAAGGGTTCTAAAGGATCCACGGTAAGTAACTCCCCTCTAAATTTGTTCTTCATTTTCCCTTATGTTTTCTCTCTTTTTAAAGACAACATTGTCTTCTGTATCCTTTTGGAATTGCTAATACAGTGTTTCTCACTGCTTTCTAGGGTCCTGCTGGTCAGAAGGGTGATGGTGGTTTACCAGGGCCCCCTGGTCCTCCTGTAAGTAGAATCTTTCCTACAGTTCACATTGACTTAAAGATCCTGTTTCATGAGGGAGGCAAATCAGACTTTGGGAAGTTTCAGAGGAGAAAAATACTGAAGTGGGAAAAAAATTTCTGACAATGCAACTTTATGTTGGAAAATACAAATTCATCAAAAGCAAAATGTTTGACAGAAATACATCACCTGTAATCTATATGTGTTTTGAAATTAAAAATGAAAAAGTAGCTTTCAACAAAGCTGAGACATTCCATTTCAATACTTCAAGAATGGAACATTTAGATTTTCCATTTTGAAACATTTCCATTTTAATCCTTTCATTTTATTAAAATATCAAGAAAATATCTTGATTGCTTTTTTATTGTTTTTGTTTTCAAGGAATGAAAATTTCAATTGACCCAGTATACAAGCTAGTGGAACTGTGGTTCATGGGACCCTTTAGAAACATTTATTTTCATTCTAGAGGGTGTACCAAGAGCCTCCATTACTACATCCCTTCAGAGTGTAGCAATTTATGCTTCCCAAAATGGCAGGTAGCAATGACTTTGTCTTCGTAAAACTGTTCTTTTAAACTAGTCCATGAAAAACCCTAAGGAAACCTGAGCTAAATGACTAAAATAGAAAATTTGGAGTAAGACTGTTGAAATCACCTCCAACCACATTTTCTAATGACCAGTGTATTTTTGCATTTGGAAAATAAGAAAAAAAGGTAACCTAGAATACATTATTTCTTTTACAGGGTCCTCCAGGCGAGGTAATCCAGCCTTTGCCTATCCAATCACCCAAAAAGACAAGAAGATCTTCAGATTACATGTTGGCTGATGCAGGTGATAATATCCTGGATTACTCAGATGGCATGGAGGAGATCTTTGGTTCACTCAATTCTCTGAAGCAAGACATTGAGCATATGAAATATCCAATGGGAACTCAGAATAACCCAGCCCGAACTTGCAAAGATCTACAACTCTGCCACCCTGACTTCCCAGATGGTATGTTAATATTACATGACAAAAGCAAATAGACTAAGGTTATGATTTACTAAAGTGCACTGATATCTCATTAATGCTAGTTATATGGTTAATAGAACCTCTAAGTAAAGTAAAGAAAATGCTTATTAATTATATTCCTGCAGGTAAAAAAAACTAATATAAATGTGGATAGAAAAATCCTATGTCTATAAAGGACGAATTTATTAGATGTGAAATGCAGTCTGGTTTTAGACTTACAACTTTTAAATATGGCTTCGATAAAAAAGTATACTAGAAAGAAAGGAAATAAAAGTTTACCCAGTTATTTACAAACACATATTTTCCAAAAAACAACGCCTGAAATTTTGTTGCCACCAAGTCAAAAGAACAGTTCTTTTGCCCTGAGAACACACAAAGAAAAAAAGACTGAAGGTTGTCTACCTTTATGTAAAACATGGCAGATACATATGTTCAAGTGTACAAGGTGTTGTTAAAGGTCGTATTAAGTGGCATGAAAATTTCATAATATAATATGATATTTATGAATAATACAATATTTATAAATAATATGATATTTGTATGACTATTATATAAACTATGCACTTATGTTCAAGAGGCATAATTGTTTAATTATTTGAACAATTTAACACTTTGTTTAATTATTTTTCTCTCTTTTTTTACTGAGCATACCCTCTGGAAAGACTTAAATGAAGGCCAGTTTTCACACAACACTCATGTTTTTATATTTCTTGTGCGACAATGAATACTTCCCCCAGTTCAAAGTAATTTTTGTCTGGTTTTAAATTAGAGCAAAATACATTTTGACAGTTTAATAATATTTATTTCATTCACTCTAGATAGATAAAAACAGATGGTTGCCTTGAGGAGTAGTTAAGTTATGTGCTATATGAAAAGTACATATTTTATAATTCAGCATCTCTATAATAATGAACATCTTTTATTGATATTCTGACTTCATCATTTACTAGTATTTAGCTATTATTTGGAGCCTCTTTCATATCAATGTAGGTTTAATTTGGTTAAAATAAAATTAACTTATTTATTTAATTAAAAAATCTCTTAGGAGTAAGGTGTCCATGGGTAGGACAGTCTGTTTAAAGTAAAAAGGCTGAATCAAAAAAAGCTTTAAAAAGTGGCTTCCGCTATTGTCATAAACATCATACATCCCTGTGTTTGATACTTTACATTCAGGGGACTGTATTGTTCAAAGGATTAGTGGGTTCATCTACACATAATGTTATATTGCTGCAGCAACATGCTATGATGATGGATCCGGCTAACTATAGGCCCATCAGCCTGACTTCTATCCCGGGGAAGATCTTAGAAAAGTTTATTAAAGAGGCCATCCTTAATGGACTGGCCGACGCCAACATCTTAAGGGATAGCCAGCACGGGTTTGCTGCGGGGAGGTCTTGCTTGACCAATCTCATTTCCTTCTACGACCAGGTGACCTATCACCTGGACAAGGGAGAAGAGATTGATGTCATATATCTTGACTTCAAAAAAGCCTTCGATCTGGTGTCCCATGATCGCCTCTTGGAGAAACTTGCCAATTGTCGCCTTGGGTCCTCCACGATCCGCTGGCTGGAAAATTGGCTCCGGGGTCAGACCCAGAGGGTAGTAATCGATGGAAGTCACTCATCGTGGTGTCCTGTGACCAGTGGGGTCCCCCAAGGCTCTGTCCTTGGACCCATACTGTTCAACATCTTCATTAATGATGTGGACACTGGAGTCAGAAGCGGACTGGCCAAGTTCGCCGATGTACTCAAGGAGCTGGCGAGCATCATAGCCCAGCTATGTTGGCTAGCACTATGGAAGAAAGAGACTTGGGGGTCATCTTTGACCACAAGATGAACATGAGCCTGCAATGCGATGCGGCGGCTAGTAAAGTGACCAAAACACTGGCTTGCATCCATAGATGCTTCTCAAGCAAATCCCGGGATGTCATTCTCCCCCTGTACTCGGCCTTAGTGAGGCCGCAGCTGGAGTACTGTGTCCAGTTTTGGTCTCCACAATTCAAAAAGGATGTGGAGAAGCTTGAGAGAGTCCAGAGAAGAGCCACGCGCATGATCAGAGGTCAGGGAAGCAGACCCTACGATGACAGGCTGAGAGCCCTGGGGCTCTTTAGCCTGAAAAAGCGTAGGCTCAGGGGTGATCTGATGGCCACCTACAAGTTTATCAGGGGTGACCACCAGCATCTGGGGGAACGTTTGTTCACCAGAGCGCCCCAAGGGATGACGAGGTCGAATGGTCACAAACTACTTCAAGATCGTTTCAGGCTGGACATAAGGAAGAACTTCTTTACTGTCCGAGCCCCCAAGGTCTGGAACAGCCTGCCACCGGAGGTGGTTCAAGCGCCTTCATTGAACACCTTCAAGATGAAACTGGATGCTTATCTTGCTGGGATCCTATGACCCCAGCTGACTTCCTGCCCTTTGGGCGGGGGGCTGGACTCGATGATCTTCCGAGGTCCCTTCCAGCCCTGATGTCTATGAAATCTATGAAATCTATGAAACATTGATGGGCAAAAACTGTGATGCCGCAGCTACATCACCATAGGAACATGCTCCCTCATTATAGTGCATTGCTACAGGAACGTAGCAGCTAAAAATAACTGTGCAGCCAGCACAGTGCAGTATGGGCTGTTACTGTAATAAATGATGGTGCAGTAACAATGGCGCTGCATGACCATGTGTAGAGCCCAGTATAACATGCCTTTCACAACTGAAATTAAATCTGGGCTCAAAGAGTGACTATAAATTACTGCTCTTTGCCATTACTACCATTAGTATGAATTACCTGGTGGTATTAGGCCACATCAATAAATTTCTAATACATATAGAATAATTATGAACCCTCTACTTAGAGATTCCTGTCTGAATGGGGTAGTTATTGGACCTCAGCTTCACCTTCTACACTAGCTTTACTTTGAATCTATAAATGTTAACTGTGCAGACCCCATCACTGGTAAATATGGTAAAAGCTGTAATGGAGACAAGTGTTTTTATCTCAGGATCCTCCAACCAAAAAGTAATTAAAATATGTTTACCATCTAAAACTACATAAGGCTTCTCTAACAATAACTGAATTAACTGATTAGAGATGCACCAATACATTGATCCATATCATATTGGCACTGGTAATTGACATTATCAACAATTGGCTTTTTTTGGCTGATGTGGCTGATAATGTTACCAATAAATGCTGCATGTATGTGCACAGCTGCAGCATGCACATGGCCAGGAGTGCACCCTGGCAGCTTGAAGAGCAGTGTCCGGCTGATAAGCATTTGTGGGGGAAGAGGTGGTAAAAGGGAAAGGGTATGGGGAGGCAGATTGAGGCCCCTGTGGTGAGGGAGGGAGAGGGGGATGTTGCAGGGGCAGGCGCTGAACAGCTGGGGCAGGGCAGGGTGCACAATGGAGCTGCAAGTGGCTCATCCAGTGGGCATGGGGAGGAGGAGACAGCTCCCATCAATGTATGCACCCCAGGAGATGTATGGGGGGGCAGGTGCACCCTGGATCTGTGTGCAGGGTGAGCATGGGCTGCCCGCTGTGGGTGAGGCCATGGGCAGCGCTGGGCTGTTCCCAGAAGAGACTGGCCCAGGGCTGCACTCAGGGTAGGTGGGGCAGGTGGCAGCACTGCTGGGAAGGGGGTTTATGGGGCGGGGCTACAGCCACCCCAAAATTTGCCATAGCCTCCCCCCTTCCAGTGCTGCCCACACCACCCCACCTGGCCTGACCACAGCCCTGGTGCAGCTACTCCTGCCAGGACGAGCCCAGTGTCACCCCGGGCTCCA